CTAACCAATGTCATAAAACAATATGTGTACTACTGTTTCATGAGAAACTATTTGTTCTGTAAGCCTTCACCTGAAGTACAATAAAATAAATAAATAAATAAAAATAAAGCGCACATGTAGAAACTGTTGAATTGGTATACGTTTTGCTGTGTATATTTCTCAGTAGCAACACCAAAATAAATAAAATTCAGGAAAAACAAACAAACAATAGTTTAGTTTAACTAGTAAAAGTCGTCTGCCTTGAGCATTAAGCTCTTTTAAGAACTATCTATGTAGGATCAAACTGACAACAGCAACTTGAAATAATTAGACAGGAACCTTAGGGGGCAGTGATTCATGTCAATGGGGGAGGAACAACTCAGAAAAGGAGGGTGACAATGGTTGTACAACTTGAAGAATGTAATCAATGTCACTAATGGTACATGCAGAAACTGTGGAATTGGTGCATGTTTTGCTGTGTATATTCTCAACAACAAAATAAAAAAAATTTTGAAAAGATTAAGAAAACAACAACAAAATAAAAAGGTGGGAAAGCAGTCAAAACCAGCCCCCACTTTCCTCCCAGATGGACCCTGGCTCTGGAGAACCAAATTGTCCATTTTATGAAGCATTCTTGATTTCTCTCTTTCTCTCACCTCACATAAGCAATATGTCAGCAAACCCTGTCTGTTCTACCCTCCAGAATAAATCTCAAATTCAATCACTTCACTCCATAAGCACTGCCACTAGGATGGCTCACTCCACCATCATTTCGTGCCTGCACTACAATGACCTGCTAAATGATGACTCTGCTTCTACTTTTTTCTCTATAATGTACTCTCCAAATATACTTGACCTATATAAAAACAACAGCAACAACCACAAAACCATTGCCTTCATGTCGATTTCAGCTCATAGTGACCCATGTCTTACAAAACAGAACTGCTTCATAAGGTTTTCTTGGCCGTAATCTTTACAAAAGAAGATCACCACGTCTTTCTTTCACGGCACTGCTAGGTAGGCTGGAACCGCCCACTTTTAGATTAGTAGCTTAGAGCAAACCATTTGTGCTACCCAGTGACCCTCACTTGATGTATATAAAAGGTAAATCAGATCAGAACCTTTGAATGACTTCCTATTGCACCTGAGTAAAAGTTTAAACTCTTTACTTGAGGCCCTACGGCTCTACATGATCTCTTTTCTACTCGTACTTCTCCCTCTTACTCACTCTCCTCAAGCCACACTGGACTTCTTTTCTCAACCAGTCTTGCCTTAGAGCCTTTACACTTGCTCCTCCCTTTTCTGGGAACATTCTGCCCTAAGATGTGCTCATCACTGTCTCCTTTTTTAAATAACTCAGGTCTCAGTTTAAATGCAAGGACTTCTCCGAGGCAAGGACTTCACTGACTTTCATCAAAATTAGCCCCAACCTCCAGCCACACTTACTTTCTGTTACATTAACCTGTTCTGTTTCCTTCATAACATTTATCACTTACCTTGTCCATTTATTTTCTTGCCCTGATTGTCTCTTCCACTATATCTCACCACTATCTATGCAGTGCCTAGATAAGTGCCTGGTACATATTAGGTACTCAATAAATATGTTGATCAAACAGACTATATTTCTCAATTCTCCAAATAGATAGACTTGTTTCTGCCTCTTGGTTTTGAGTCATGGTGTCTCCTGGATAATGAACACTCTCTCACTTCTCCCTGTACAAATATCACTTACAGTTTGTTTTGGTCCCAGATCAAGACTTACCTCCTCTGGGTAAACCCTTCAACCAAACCCGCTGTCGTCGAGTCAATTCTGACTCATAGCAACCCTATAGAGAAGCCTTCCCCATTTCAGTTCTCTCTGCACCTACCATCCCTTCCCCTAGATAAATGCCTGTTTTACCACAGTCATGCAATGGCCTCTCCTCCTGCTAACTGTTCTCCCTCCAGCTTTTTGTCTCTGTATCCTGTCTTCCCATCTTTACTGAGGGCTCATTAAGAAATAGCAGAGCTTCTTTTTCTTCCAAGGTTCCCACAGTTCATTGTGTCATGCATGCTCCTGGCAAAGAGAGGCAACCCATAAGGAAAATATCCCAAATACTGTGACAGGCTAGAGCAATGTCTTACCTTGTTTCACCACCAGAAGTTCTGTATGTGCTTTTATAAAACCCTTCAAATCCATCAGCTAACTTGGCTTGGAAGTTAATAGCCACATAGTATCTCACATCAGCAATAAGTTCTTCTGGAACCAGTAGTGCAATTTGTTCATGAGCAGGATAACTCAACACTTTCAGCTCTTTCCCTGGTTTCTTGTATCTCAAATCTTCCTCTGAGTGAAGGGTGGCATTCATGATTTCAAGGTCTTTGCTGTGCAAGATGATAAACTGGGTAGCTTCTCTGACTAAGATCTCAATCTTCTCAGATGCAGCAAAATCCAGGGAGGTGAGATTTGGGTGGACAAGGAGGTCATAGTGGAGGGGAATGGCCATGTGAGGTAGCCTTAGGTCACGCCAAGGAAATGGTTCCCCATTGGTGGTTACCGGGAAAGCCTCAGGATCCTTACTGAACTGATTAATAAATGGCGTTGAGAACTGAGAACAAACGCATATTTTGGGCAGGGTGATTGCTGAGCAATAAAATCCTATGTAAATATGAAATATTAGTTTTCTGTGTGAATTAACCATTGCAGAAGAATCGAACACTAAATCTGTTCTTCAGAAGGTAAGTTACTATCCAGGCTATATCTTAGAGTTCTCCATATATCATACAGGGCCTGGAAGATACGCTTCAATAGATTTAATCTAGAAGGAAAAAAAGTATTTATAGCATGAAGAAAAAGATTTTAATTCACAAGTAAAATCTTAAAAAAAAACAAAAGGGTATATGTAAATGGGGAAAACCTACTCTCTGTCAGACTCAGGCCAAACATCTACAAAGTCAAGTAGAAATTGAGCTATCTTCCGGTTATTTCAAATAAAAATCCTTTAGTGCCCAAATGCAAGGGCCCTACCTTAAAACTGCATGTAAGGAAGCCCCTCTGCATTCCTGTGCAATGGGCAGAAGGCAGGTAGGTAAATTCATTGTAGGCTGAATATTTCAAACCTTTGACTACATCCTTTTAAGGGTATGCCTGGATGCCTAAAAAAGTAAACTGTGCAGAATGTCTGTATATTATCTTTTTTTTTCCTCTGCGTAAACCTTTTCATGAGTTCTTAGAACAGTCATCTCATACAGTATTTTCCTTTTGTGATTGACTTATTTCACTCAGCATAATGCCTTCCAGATTCATCCATATTGTGAGATGTTTTCTATTTTATCTTACTAAGTGACAAAGAATATCCTATATTCTTTGGATACCAGGTATCATTAACACTATTATTATTATTAGTATTGAACTTTACCTCTTCGTAAATGACACCATCTGAATGGCCTTATTCTGTGGCTACTAATATAAAAGATGCTGATTAAACTGGGTGTTTATCCTCCGTTTATTTCCCATATATCAAAACCTGTTGCCGTCAAGTTGATTCCCCTCATAGTGACCCTATAGGACAGAGTAAGAACTGCCCCATAGGGTTTCCAAAGAGCAGCTGGTGGATTCAAACCTTTTGGTTAACCACTTTGCCACCCGGGGTCCATATATCAAAAGCCACAGAAATAAAATTTGAGTGTATAATGTTCTGAGAATATTTTTTAAAAATTGTTTTGGTCCTCTTTACCCTGAAAACACAATTAAATCAAACTGAATTTGCAGCCTCTGTACAATAGAACTAATACCATTTTTTCCTAGGAAAAGGGTGAAGCTTCAAAACTTACACAGGACTAGGACATAAAAGGCAGATAATCTGGGTGACTCAACTCCTCTGTCTCCCACCCTGCTACCTGCCTCCACTTAACCTCCTCCCTACTCCAAATTAAACCCATTAATGATTTTCTTTTTCTCTTTTTTAAAAATCATTAACAATTTATTCAGAATTAATTATCCAAATGACTACTTCAGTTTTCCAATCTGCAATATTAATACAGATCAACAGGTATTGTCAAAGAAACAAAGAAAAGAAGAATAAAATAATGGTTAAGTAATGATACCCCTCCCTCCTTTTTTAAACAACATTATTTTATTGCTACCAGATATCAATGTTTCAAGAACCTCTGATGCATTAACCATACTTGGTCTATTAGCTTGAATTTCCAATGGCTTGAAAAATGAAATTGCTTATTAATTAGGTCCTGAGCTTTGGACCCAGAGTGCCTGGATTCCAACACTAGTTCCACCACACTCACCTATATGATTCTGGGCATATTCCATGATTTTTTGAGCATCAGTTCCCTCACATATAAAAGACTGTAATAATTATACCTTTCTCATAGGATTTTTGAGAGGATTAAATGAAATAGCTCACATGAAGAACACGGTACAGCAACTAGCATACAGGAAACACACAAGGAATGTTAGATGTTATAATTGTGGCTACTATAATTTGTATTTCCTGGCCTACATTAAGGAGTAGTTCTGCCCCACTTGCAGCAGACACTCCCAGAGAACAGTATATTTTATTGATAAGAGTGGAGAGAAAGCCTCGGTATTTAGTCATATAGTCTTTTACTTTACAACTGGTAAGGACTCTCAAAGCCATCTAGTATAAGTCCTTAGTTTTCGGATGAAGAAACTGATACTCAGAGAGGGTGAGTGCTTTTCAAAAATCACACAAGAAAGTGGCAGCCGCATGGGGACTGAAATACAGCTCTTGGACGCTTGAGCTATGGACTTTCCATTATACTGCACTGTTCCTTAATTAGCATTGCAGTGAACAAAGCATCCTGGGACTGAAGACACAAGAATTGCGGCAAACATTTGGGAAAGGCTAAAAGATCTCCAAAAAAAGAGTAAGTCAGTTAAACAGAAAGATTCTTAAACCATGTCCCACCCTTGACTGCACATACTTTCCAATACACTAGTATCAGATTCACCCACTTTCACAGAGCCTTGCCTCAGATTACAAAACCTCCCAACACAGAAGTTTTATACCTGTAGTTCAGGTCATCATCCTTACTGAAAAATTCTGATTTTTAAGACAAATCCAAGAGAAACGTTGGTGTGTTACCTTGATCCTCACTGTTGCCGATTTGGATGGAGGGAAGTTTATTTTTGCTTTCACTTTCTCTTCTGATAAAAAAAATTAACTCTATCTTTCCTGTAAGCTCTTGCCTCCTGGTACAAGGTGGGTTGGGTCTCTTCTTCCTCATAACCCTGAATGGACCTTCCACGAAGATAAAACCTCTGCCCTGTCATTTTCTCTCTTTCTCTTTTCCCTAGGAAAGCATGCCCCAGTGCAGAGATTTAACATTTATCCCCATGAAGCCCACATTTCTCCCTCCTGTTCTCATCAATCCCTTCGGGTTTCTGTTGCTGCAGTTCCAATAGCATGATGGACTTTTGCTACATGTATGTTCACGTAACACTTCAAATACCATCTTCTTTCCCCAAATTAATGCTTTTTACTTTAACTTCAGCTCTTTCAACTCTTCTTCTATTACCTATGCTTGCACCATATACAGTTGATCCACAGTACTGAGGACAATGAATTAGCAAATTCCGAACCAGCCTTGTTTAACCTCAGCTGGGAACATGCTCTTTGTGTATGTTCATGTCTGCAAATGATCCCAAAAGCATCCTAGGGTTGATATAAAAAAAAAAAAAAAAGAAAAAAAATCAAACCAGTTGCCCTCAAGTTTATTCCCACTTATGGGGACTCCATGCATTTCTGAGTAGAACTGTGCTCCAAAGGGTTTTCAAAAAGCTGTAATGTTTTAGCAGTAGATTGTCAGGCCTTTCTTGCAAGGCACCTCTGGGTGGACTTGAACCGACAATCTTTCAGTTAGTAGCTGAGCATTTGCACCACCCAAGGACTCCTGAGTATTGATTTGGGGGTTACAAATAAATTCTAGAGAGAGGCAAATTTGAGAATCTGTTCTCAACATATTTAAATCTTAATGATTCAAGTTTCTGATTACGAACTGGACCTAGAATCAAGAGAATTGGGCTTAAGTCTTCCTCTTAAAACAAGCATTTCCTTATCTCCAAATTAGAGGCAATAACACTTTCCTTAATTACTGCAGAGGATGGTTGTCAATGTCAGAACTGATTTGAGATAACACATGAAAAACAGTTTCTAAATCTTTTATAAATGTTGAAGTAGGTTCCATGCATAGGTTAATAATAATCAGTGACTATCCTATGTTGTAATAAAGTGCTGCCCTTGAGGCGACTGAGATATAATAAACGACCTCACATTGCCATATCTTTTTGAATTCTAGTGGGCACTATATAAGGTTTATTCCAGCTCCTCCATTATTATTTTTATTTGCCTCCCGTCACTACCTTCAGTTATCCTCACCCTCTACCCTAGACCTGTTCCAAGATTGTTTCTTCTAGTGCGTGCTGCAAGCTGAAAAATTAGAAAATGAAACTAGCTGGACATTATTTCAGGTACTCAGATGCCTTGAAAATTATTTCCTAATGCTGTCCGTGTTGCAGGATAAACAGTCTCCTGACAAATGAAATGTTACTGAATCTCCTCCTCCTTTGCTGTTAGCATGGGTGTTGAATTTCCTCCTCTGAATACGGGCGGCGCGGCTTGATCTTTATGCTGGGTCTTGTCACTCTGACTGCTAGGCTAACTTAGTTCTAGAAACCACTTCCTCTTCTCTGTCTCCCATTTCTTTTCAAAAGAGCTCTTAAAATCTGTTAAAAGCACTTTCCAAAATTATTACTAAGCTTCTGTTCATTTTCAAATAAAATACAGACTATAATGTGGTTTTTAAAATTTTAAAGAAAGAAATGAAACAGTCCGATAACATTAGTCAGTTCCTTATCCAAAATATGAGAGATAGGGGGAAAATTCACCTAGTAAATGCATGCTATAGCTTACTTTAAGCTCATTTAGTTTCGGCAGAAAATTAGAAACAGCACAATGTCAGAATTTTAAATCAGTAGCTGACAGGAAGATAATTTTTTAAAAATTGATATTTTTAACAAGCCTTCCACAAACATTTACTAAAACAAAAAAGAGAAAAACACAGCAATAAAAATCTTACATTGTTGACTGCTCTGACCAGGATCACAACAGAGGGTTCTGGACAGAGCTGGAGAAGGATGTAGA